AATTACTAGAAAGCTCAAAAGCCACTTACTCATTGAAGAAGAGTTAAATTACCAATATTTTACTAAACGTGTTTACTTTTCGCCTGTTGTATTATCATTCTAAAGTTCAGAGATCACAACGAATTCATAAAGAGATGGTGAGGTGTCAACCACTGAGTAGCATTAAATAATTTAGTTTTAGTTTATCCCTTTGTTCTGTTTATTTTGTGTGAACTAACTCTCGGACTTGTTACATTTAAATTTTTATTTTAAAATATATGCTGCTTGTATCATATGTGGTATAGGGGGGCAAAAAGTCAATTAACAATCACTTTTTTTTCTTCTAAGTTAAGCCCCTTTTTTATACATCCTCATAGTACTTGTATTTGTATTTTGTAGCACACTTCACAGTTGGATTTATTTCATTTATTTTTTTAAAATTTGATTGTGCTTTAGGTGAAAGTCTACAGCACAAATTAGTTTCTCATTCAAAAATTTATACAAAAATTGTTTCGTGACATTGGTTGCAATCCTCACAATGTGTCAGCACTCTCCCCATTTCCACCCTGGTTTCCCCATGTCCATTCGGCCCGTTTTCCTGTCTCTTCTTGCCTTCTTGTCTTGCCTTTGGGCATGAGTTGCCCATTTGCTCTCATATACTTGATTGAACTTAGAAGCATGTTCCTCACGTGTGTTATCATTTATTTTATAGGCCTGTCTAATCTTTGGCTGAAAAGTGAACTTCGAGAGTGGCTTCAGTTCTGAGTTAGCAGGGTACCCGGTGGCCATAGTCTCGGTGGTTCCTCCAGTCTGCCAGACCAGTAAGTCTGGTCTTTTTTTTCTGAATTTGAATTTTGTTCTACATTTTTCTCCTGCTCTGCCCGGGATCCTCTATTGTGATCCTTATCAGAGTGGTTGGTGGTGGTAGCCAGGCACCATCTGGTTGTTCTGGGCTCAGGCTGGTGGCGGCTATAGTTCACATGGTCCTTTAGTCCTCTGGGATAATATTTTCCTTGTGTCTTTGGTTTTCTTTATTCTCCATTTCTCCGGATGGGATGGGACCAATAGACGTATCTTAGATGGCTGCTCACAAGCTGTTAAGACCCCAGATGCTACTTACCAAAGAAGGATGTAGAACATTTTCTTTATGAACTATGTTGTGCCAATTGACCTAGATGTCTCCCGAGACCATGGTCCCCAGACCTCAGCCCAACAACTAGGTCCCCCAAGGTGTTTGAATGTGTCTAGGGAGCTTCTGTGACTTTGCCTTGGTCAAGTTATGCTGACTTCCCCCACACTGTGTGTTGTCTTTCCGTTCACCAAAGTTGACACTTGTCTGCTATTAGTGATTTCGTCTCCCCATCCCTCCCCTCCCTCATAATTATCAAAGTTTGTTTTATCTGTGTGTAGATCTTGAGTTTTTATTATAGTTTCATACAATATTTGTCTTCTTGTGATTGAGCTATTTCACTCAGTATAATGTCCTCCAGATTCATCCATGTTGTGAGATGTTTCTCGGCTACGTCATTGTTCTTTATCATCGCGTAGCATTCCATTGTGTGTATGTACCATAATTTATTTATCCATTCATCTGTTGATGGGCACTTAGGTTTTTTTTTTCATCTTTTTGCTATAGTGAATAATGCTGCAATGAACATGGGTGTGTGTATGCCTATTCATGTGACAGAATTGCTTGATTGTACAGTATTTCTATTTCTAGCTTTTTAAGGAGGCGTCATATTGTTTTCCACAGTGGTTATATCATTTTACATTCCCACCAGCAGTACATAAGAGTTCCAATCTCCCCATAACATCTCCAACATTTGTTACTTTGCGTTTTTTGGATTAGCGCCAGCCTTGGTACTTCATTGTAGTTTTGCTTTGCATTTCTCTAATGGCTAATGATTGCTAGCATTTCCTTATGTATCTATAGGCCGCCTGAATGTATTCTTTGGTGAAGTGTCTCTTCATATCCTGTGCCCATTTTTAATTGGATTATTTGTCTTTTTATTGCTGAGTTATTGACGTATTTTATATATTTTAGAGATTAGACCCTTCTCAAATATGTAGTAGCCAAATTCTTTTTCCCAGTCTGTAGGTTCTCTTTTTACTTTTTTGGTGAAGTCTTTTGATGAGCTTAAGTGTTTAATTTTTAGGAACTCCCAGTTATCAAGTTTATATTCTGGTGTTTGTGCATTGTTAGTCATGGTCTGTATTGTATTTATGCCATGTATTAGGGTCCCTAGTGTTATCCCTATTTTTAATTCCATGATTAGTATCGTTTTAGGTTTTATATTTAGGTCTTTGATCCGTTTTGAGTTAGTTTTTGTGTATGGTGTGAGTATGGGCCCTGTTTCATTTGTTTTTTACAGGTGAACATCCAGTTACACCAGCACTATTTGTTAGAGACTGTCTTTTCCCCATTTAATGGAGTTTGGCCCTTTGTCAAATATCAGCTGCCTGTAGGTGGATCATGAGAGCCCTGGTGGTGCAGTGGTTGGTTAAGAGCTATAGCAAGCTACAGCTGCTAACCAAAATGTTGGCAGTTCTAATCTACCAGCTGCTCGTTGGAAACCCTATGGGGGAGTTATACTCTGTTTTATAGGATCGCTATGAGTTAGAATTGACTTGACAGCAATGGGTTTTGGTCTGGTAGGTGAATCACAACTAGATTTAAATAATTTATTGGCTGATGGTTTAAAAAAAATTGTCTCCTCCATTAGATGTAAACTCCTACGGGCAGGAAATTCCTCTGTCAGATTCACCTTTTTGTCCCCTGACCCTGGCACAATACTTGGCATCTAATGAGCAGTAAATGAAGATTTGTTGGATGAAAGAATTAATTAGTAAATGATAATTTCAAATATACATTTTTAAGAGAAAAAGACACATGAAGAGAAAACAAAAAGAAACCAAAGTTTTAGTCAAGTAACCAAATTACTGGCTTTAGTTTTAAAGTTGTTTCTTTTTCTGGCCATCATTTATACCCAAAGCAGCATCATTGGAAATTGATGTTAAGAATAATGACCCTCTTAGATCCTCATTCAAGAATGTCTCTACTTTCAAAGGCAAGAAGGGGATTCATTTCTCCCCCATTTCTGAGGTCTTGCTTTGCTCAGTGATTTTGACTTAATCCTCAAATAATCAGAAAATTCTGCTGAACAACATAAACCATGACTATAGAATCCTGATTCGTTAAAGTTGAGTTGTAATTAGCAATTTTTTTAAAATATTCAATCACTTTGAAGATGACTGTTATGAGAGACCCATGCCATCATTTATCAATGAGATGACTCATTCAATTTAAGGAAAATTCAGAGATTAAAAGCTGGAACTTGCAAGTTTCAGCATCAATAATCCCTGGAGTTAGAAAGGACCTTCTTACACCATAGGCACAGCAGGCATGCCATTCTAATCACTAATCTTAACTGATTAAATGGCCGACTGAAGATTAGGTATCTTCGTCACAAACATAATCTTAGTCTTTGTGGTTCTTAACATGGTTCCATTTGGAGCTGTTGTTTGGCTCAGTACATTGGAAAATGATGACAACTGACTTTCCCACATATTTACTGAACTCCTACCATTGTGATAGATATGCTGACAGAGTTCCAGGGACAGCACAAATGAACACAAGATACTTCATGCCTTTGACAAATTTGCATTCTGGCAAAGCAAGAATATTAAACACTGAAATACAAAGCAGAGTAGAAAAAAGCTTAGGTGACAAACTGACAGAGAAGTCAAATACCACATCTATTTGAATAAATCAAGCAAGGCTTCAATGGAGGAGGGACTGTGTTGAGACGGATTTTGAAGGATGGGCAGGATAGCAACAAATAGAGATTGGTGATAAAGAAGGCATTCCACGAGCAAAGATATGTGGCTGGGGAAAATTGTGGGGTGTATTTTCATAAGAAGAGTAAGTAATCCAGTATGGATAGACCATACATTACCTGTGATGATATGATGGGAGATAAATCTGGAATAGATTTTGTCCATATTATGTGTGAAGAGTATTATATAGGTAATGAAGTATTGAGGAGCTGAAAGTCATAGGTTTGAGACCATTAGTTGCCATTTGACTTATCTTTGTTTTAAGACAGTAGATCGCAATCTATTTATGAAGTAAGACATAAGATATCCAGGTTTAGACCAAATTATGAAAATGACTAAGTTTATATTTGGAGTTAAGCCTAGAAAACCCTACAGGGCAGTTCTACTCTGTCACATGGGGTTGCTATGAGTTGAAAATCGACTCAAAGGCACCTATCAACAACAACAACATCTGAACTTCCACCACAGCCTCCTCCCTCTTTTTCCCATTCTGTTCTAAGTTGAACTTATATCTGATCCCATTCCTGGTGAGGAATAACTGATCATGGCTTGGAGGTTTGAAAGATGGGGATAGATGATAATTCTAAGGAAAATTCTCAGGTTATCAGGGGACTCTTAAAGCAAAAGGCTTTAGGATTCAGGAATCTTGTTACAATGGCAGTCTATGAGACAGTAGGGTAAAAAGTTTGCTGCGTAAGATTTGTACTCTCAAATCTTACAAAATAGAACAGCACCTCCATGTCTCCCTTCCGTGGTTCACAGTGGTCATTGGCTGTAAGAGTGACAGCCTGACTCAGAGTATGGATGCCTAGTGAAAAACCATTCCCAATAGTGAACGTCACTCAAAGTATAGGCACGCATGCATGCTTTGCCAGTCATGTCCTCTTCATGAACTAGAGAAGGGACACTAGGTAGCTGGGATAGCAGAAAGATAGCTAAAGATCAGGAGGCCTGAGTTCTAGACTCAGCTCTAAGTCTCAGTTTTCACATTTGTTAAAAATAACAACTAGGGATGGATACATGAGTTCTAAGAATCATTTTACCTCCATAATATCATATAAGAAGGCATATATTATGGGCTGTACCTCCCTGCAGTGCAAACACAGAGAAATGTCAACTCTGAAAGAATTCAGGCCTTCAAAACATGGCCCCTTCCGTAGCTCCTTTCTGGGTGCCTGTTCAGTTCAGAGGGCTGTGGAAAGGTGGGAGCTTCTGAAGGACGATTGACAAGGCCACTGGGAAGCCAAATCTTCAGTCAGCTCCATAAGGTGGCATTCTGTCAGCAAAGTGTTCCGCTGGGCAGTTGGGCCATGTGGGGGATCCTGGGAGTGGCAGTGTTTGCATGAAGGAGAGATCACATTCCGGAAGGCTGCCCGGAAGCGGTGAGACAGCAGGTTATAGATAACGGGGTTGACGGCTGAGCTCAGGTAGAAGAAGACACCTGGGAGGCAGGAGATCAAAAGAGACACACTAAAGGAAATATTGAGTGACAGATATGATAGGGAGAAGGAAAAATATTTAACAAAGGCCTAGAATTCCTGTGATTACCTCTTTTGGAAGTGATAATATATTCAAGACGCTAATTGAGAATACAAAATGCACTGAACAGATCTACCACCTGTGCACTTAGGAATCAAACGCAGAAAGATTAAAGAGTCTTGGAAAAATTTAGGCTGACATGGGCTGTCTTTGAGATATTCAGCAACTTCCTTTGATCCCCACTTGTTTAATTAAATACATGTTTCCATAGCATTAATGAGAGATGCTTAAGTATCAGAGGAAGGTGAGATTTTTTTTTTTTTAATCTCATTGGAATTTTACTCTTAAATCTATAATTTGAAAGTGTAAGTAATGAAGGAATTAAAAAGTCAAGGCTTAGTGCCTGCTGAAATTCCTTGCTATGTTAAATATCTCTTCAAAGAAATATTCCCAATGTCCTTTCTCTAGCTTTTCTTCTTGACAGCTCCTCCAACTTATTTTTTTTTACCTTATTGAATACTTGTATTTTGTTAATTATTTTCTCCACTAAATGCCTCACACATTGCCATTTACCTGTTTGGTATATACTCTTCCTTTATTACCGTATCCATATCCTATTTTATTTCCTCAAAGTCTAAGGTGAACCAAAGTTTGTGAGTCAGAAGACCTAGCTTCTTATCTTGGCTTTACTTGTTCTGTGACCTTAAACAAACACTGGTACTTCAGTTTCCTTCTCTGCAAAATGGGAATAATAATATTGACCTAATACACCCTTTGGTTTATTGTGAGGATAAAGCTGAGATACCATACATAAAAGGGCTGAAAAAGTACTGTTGTCAATATGTATATCCTCATTTATATAATTCAGGACATTCATAGTGGCATATGACCTGAGCAAAGAATTGGGCAGGGACAAATACAGAGGAGAACATTCTTCTGTATGTTATGGACTGTTAGTTCTTTCAACAAATAAAGTAAAACCTGCAAAAGTGGAACCTGTGTAAGGTGAAAACCTGTCAGAGAAGGAAAATTCAAATGTTTTCCACCAATACAGAGTGATAGAAAAGTGGTAAGTTCACTCCCTGACAACGGGGTAAAACTTCGAAGACTCAGAAAAACAAGGCAGTCCCACTGAGTTCTGGCTATCACAGGTTTCACTATATTGACTTAACCCCTATTATGTGCCAAGAACTTCTAGGTACATTGGAAGGAGGTGGATTTAGACTTTGTTCTCTACAGACCTGGAATACTATTATAGAGATAAGATTTATGCCTTTATTCAATAATTAATAATAAAAAATATGAAACAATGTAAGAACAAAATATATGATACCAACAGGCATTAGAAATTCACATAAGGACTATGATGGTCACGAAAGATTTAGCGGAGGTGACAGAACACCAGCCAGGGCCTAGAACAGGTAGGAGAGAGTTGAGAAGAAGAGGAGAAAGCATTGTGGGTAGAAGACATAGCATGCACAATGGTGCAGAGGTACAGGGATGGTTATATTGTGCAGGATAATTGTAGAATGTGGAAGACTCTCTGATTATCCAGTTAGACAAGTGTATGATCTTTGACTAGGAATAATATAACTTGAAGATCAAAATGCAAGTTGGGGCATTTTCTGTAGGGTTTAAGAGGTTTGTGCTTCATCTGGTTGGCAATGAGGAGTGGGGATGATACCTTAACAGGATAATGTCATTATGAAAGCCAAAGTTTTGAAATCTTATACCAGCAGTCTTGATGCATCTGGAGAGGTGTAGTCAACTAGTCAAATGTCATGTGGTTTGGTAGTAATTTCCAATTTCTTTAAACACTCACATTTTTCCCAAATTAACCACAAGTTTACTCTAAAGGCTATAAATATTTTTAAGTCTGGGTTTTATCCCATAGTGATAAATGTTTGGACATGAAATAAAGGACTAATGTCCAGATATAAGCTATACACAAGGCCTGCTGAGTCCAAAAAAAGAGGATGACAGAAAATAGGTAATACACGAGGTGTACAGTACACATATGTATGCTATTGTTTTTGCTTTGTGCACAACATCTGGACCTTAACTTACATAAATCGATCTCCTCTTTCCTCTGTGACCATGTCTTTGATAACCCAAATTGCCTACAGAATCAGCCAATGACTAGCAGAAGTGAAGGGAAAAAAGTGGTCAGAACCTAAGGCTGACGGTCACACGGACTGAGAAAGAGGGAACTGGGTGACCATTCTCTATTCTGTTTTAGTGGAAAGAACACTGAACTTGCAGTCAGGTGAGTTGGGCACGAACGTTGTTTCTACTCTTTGCTATCTGAGTACCTTTGAGTAAGTCACTCATTTTTGGAACTGTTTCTTCAACTGAAAAATTTTGGTGATAATATCCACTTAACAGCTTTGTGGTGATGATTATAGAAAGATATATAGCATTTTATAGCTTAAAAACTATTGAATATCCACCATTTGCTTCTTACTATCAGTCTATGATTTGCATAGAACAGATATTATTGCTATTTTACACTTGAGGAAACTTTGGTGTGAAGGAAGCCATGTGTTCCAGATCACTCAGAAAATTAATGGTGGAATTGGCATGCAAATCCAGGTTCTCTGACTTTGTGACCTTTCCACCATTTGATACACATTCTATGATATGTTCTATGAGCAGGTAAAGAAGCCTAAAAGCAGGTCTTAATGCCCCATGAATGTCCTTTGGTTCTTTTTAAAGGAATCTAATATTTGCTGAAGGCAATATGGGATTTCAGGGACATAAATGTTTAATAAATAAGAACCAATTTAATCAAGTGTCACTTGGAAGGAAAGCCAAGGAATCATTCCTTAGACAATTCTCTGCTGTATTTGCCATGCTTGGAGCTGAGGTCTTCCATGAAGTAGCTTCTAAAACAGTGATCTGGTATATTTTTTGGATTAGTTACATAGTATCTAATCTTGGAATAAAATGAAAATTAAGTGTCTTCATTATAGTACAGTGGGTCCATACGATAAATTGATATACCTAGATAGAACCTATTGCATGAGGCAAGATGAATAAATTGTATTCACCTGGACACTTGTCATGCAACCAAACCAGCAAAGCTTTTACCTGACACCACATGGATGAGATTGAACACAGCGGCCAGAGATTCAGTCCACTCCTCCACAAAGCTGAAGAAGAGCCGATCAATGTGGAATGGGGTCCAACAGATAGCGAACACTAAGACCAAGACAACTGGAAAGGATAATGAATGGGAGAGCAAAAGACAGTTCAAGCAAGGATAGGTATGCGATGCCCACTCTAAGTCCATTCATTGCTTCTAGCATTTTGCCCTCGCTTTTGCCTACATCTTTGTTAAGCTATAATTGTTATAGACAAACTCAGTCCTAAAGAGCCTAAATATAGAGTATTTAAGTGTAAGAAAGAATTTTATTCGATTTTGGATCAGTTTTCCATATGATTGTACAAGATTTCTTATATAACGTAAACTTCCTTTAGAATGTTTGAAATTATATTGAATTTGTTCGAAGCTCTGAAAATATTCTACTGTGGAAAATAAAGTATATTGCATGTAGACTGTTGGAATCACAAACTAGTCATATAAATAACATGATTGGGTTCAAGTTGTTGGTATTCTTTAAAGTCATAGATTAACAACAAACTGTTAAATGTATGCATAGATTCAACTTGTTACTTTAGCAATAATTAGAAGCATCTCTGAATTTAATCACTTAAAATTCTGTATGGGATGGGGAGGAGAGAAAGAGTGAACAATCACTAGCATAATATTGCTTTACAAGTATCTTCTGATTGGGGTGGGGATGTGTCATTATGTTATAAATTGCTAGAGCACAGAATTCCTTTCAGTTTCTTTTTTTCAGCTCCCAATATAGAGATTGGTGCTACTATAGTTTCTCTTCGGGGCACTTAATCTCCACAAATATAAATATGCATTTTTTTCTCTTCTGAAGTTGTCCTTTTCTTTGCAATGATTTGATGTCTGGGATTTGCCTGAAAAAAATCTTTTAGGAAGTAGGAGAAATGGTATAGATCAAACAAAATTAACTGTAAATTGATAATTTTTGAAGCTGGTGATGGGCACATGGGGGTTCACTTTTACTTGTGTACATATTTGAAGTTTCCCATATTAAAAAGTACATATATTTCTCGTTTACAATAAACATACTGAGAGTAAGATGTCTGTCCTTGTTGTGTGCTTTCAGGGGTATCTGGAATGTTCTTCTGAGCTTACCCCTAAAGAAAAAGTCCCTCTTCTCCTCACTACTGCCTATAGTTTCCTTAGTTAAAATTTAATTCTTTCTAAAATTATATCCCCCTTTTGAAAGGCAAATATCTTACAGTATATTTTATCATTGTGACTTAAATGCCAATGAGCTTCAAGTCTTTTCGTAAAAATAGATTATATTCCAGGGGAAAGGAGGAGAGACAATGAGGACACCAGGTTTCTTAATATGGAGTGGCAGGTGCTATCAGGCGTTAAAATAATTCCAGGAAGATGACTATTAGCGTCATAAAGGTAAACATTAGTAACTTCACAGTTTTATTGCTCACCAACACCACATAGTTATAGTGAGCATTTCCTATGCGTATTAGCCTGGAGGATTCTTTCCTTCCAAACCATAGGTTTGAACCTGGAATGTATGTTATAAACTGCCTTTCCCTCATCAGTGTCTCTCATAGAATGGTGCAGGATATCATGTGGATTGGTGCCTGAATATTTTTTTTAAACATCTTCATCTACACAGAAGTTGTACTGTTTTATCCATGGTCGTACAGTGTCAGAGGTTGAAGCACTATTTAAAGAAACTCTTGTCCAGATGTTCTTAACCTAGAATTAAAGACCCCGGGGAGCCCATGGATGGATTTCAGGGGATCATAATCCCCTGAAATGGAGTGCAAAATGTTTGTGTATATGCGTTTGTATGTTTTATGGGAGAGAGTCTACAGTTTTCATTTGATTTTTCAAAGGAACCCCTAACACAAAATAGGTTAAAAACAACTTGCTCATTTAACAGAGGGAAAAGTGATGCTCAAAGTCTCAGAGAATGGAGCGATTTACCAAACACCACATAGAGTATGTTACAATGCAAGCAAATTAGCATATTGTTCGGAAGGTTAAAAAACAAGCAACCAAAAAAAAAAAAAACCCGGACAGTTCTAGAAGCTTGAGTATGCCAAGGGAGACCAGGCCATGTTATTATGTTTCAGGGGCATTCTGATGCTGACCCCTAGTGGCACTTCTCTTGGTACCAAAAGCAAGGCAGCACCTTCACTTTTACTAACAAAACAAGACACAATAGAGGACTTACACAGCATCTTGGTGACTGACTTTCTGGAGGGTCTCTGGATATTTGCAGTCATTTCATCTACCTCAAGGGATTGGTCTTTTTTCAGCTGAAAAGTAAGGGGAAAGAGGAGGTAAGAAAGTTAAGCACTTTTTTTCCTCCTGTTAACTGAGAAATGTAACTTGAACACGCATTTTGCAGACAGAAAACTGGGACTTAGAGAAATGTAAGAATCTGTCAAAAGTTTAACAGTAAGTTGAGGTGAAGTTGGATCTGGAACCCAGGTCACCTAACTCAACTGGATACATGGCTGTGGCCAAGTTGCAGTGCCACTGTTTTTCATATGCAACTCTGTAGAACACTAGTTATGCAGTATGGTAATAGGTGTTCTATGACAAATATGAAATACTGAAGTAAAAGAAGATGTTAGCTGGAAACATTCATTCAATCAAAAATTATTGAACATGTATTGTGTAGCAGTCCCTCTGCTACGTGGTAGGTAAGCAGTGGAAAGCAAAGGCAGATGAGATGTCATTCTGCCTACAGTCTTTATCATGAGTCCTCTAGGAGCTTTTAATATGCTAATGAGCATTATAAGGATCCCTGGTGGCACAGTGGTTAAGCACTTGGCCGCTAATCAAAAGGTAGGCAGTTTGAACCCACCAGCCACTCTGCGGGAGAAAGATGTGGCAATCTGCTTCCATAAAGATTACAGCCTTGGAAATCCCATAGGGGCAGTTCTACCCTGTAGAACCCCTATAGGGTTGCTATGAGATGGAACTGACTTGACGGCACACAGCAAAAGCAACAACAATGAGCATGATGAATCTTCAAGGGGGATTGTGCTCCTTTGACTAAACAATACCCTTTTGTAGCTGTTTACAGTGGAATATATAGTACTATGTTGAGAAGCGCAATTTGGGAAATGCTGCTTTATTATTGATAAGAGTACATATGTTTCTGAGCTTAGAGATTAAAATATATTTTGGGAGATACGGTGATTCTTGATGTAACATCTGAAAATTTCAAATAATAACACACTTGTACTACCAATTTTTTTTTTTTTTTGGTAAAAGTATACAGAGCCAGAAATACACCATTTGAACAATTTATACATATACAATTCAGTGACATTGGTAATATTCTTCAAGTTGTTTTACTATTTTTGCTATATTTTTCCAAATTATTCCACCACTATTATCTTAAACTCATACTGTCCATAAACTTCCCATCCAATCTTTTGAGTTACTGTTGTCAATCTGATCTCACACAGATAATTCTTTAACAGAGCACAATGCCCAAAGCAGACGTACTTTATTATTTAAGATAAGCTATTTTTTCGTTCAAAGAAGACTTCAGGGGTTTTATGGTTAAGGTTGTGTGTCATCTTGACTGGGTCGTGATTCTCAGTGTTTTGGCAGTTGTATAATGTTGTGATCACTTCCCTGTTGAAATTTTATATGTGATCACCCCTATGATGGAATCTGCAGAGTGGTACTGGCGGGGGTGGGGCCTGTGGCAGCTCACCGCCCCTCAGCCTTCAGCTCTCCGCCCTCTGCTGCCTAATTCCTTCCTGCTCACCTTGCCAAGGCTTTTGGCTTGTTCTGGGTCTTGTAGCTACCTTTTGTTCATCTGACCTCTGGTTCCTGGGACTTTAGCTAGCAGCTTACCTGCTGATCTTGGGTTTGCCAGCCCCTTTAGCTATGTGAATCAGGAGAAGCCTTGCGGTCTTGCCTGCCAATGTTGGAATTTGTCAACCTTCACAGCCTGTGAGCAAGAGCCCTGCTCTCTGACCTGCTGATCTTGGGTTCACCAGCCCCTGTGGCTATGTGAGTCCCCAGAGAAGCTTCTATCCTGATCCACAGACTTGGGACATTCCAGCCTCTACAGTCACATGAGCTGTTTCCTTGATATAAATCTCTCTTTCTCTCTCTCTCTGTATATGTATATATATTTATATGCTTTATTGGTGTTGCTTCTCTAGAGAACTCAGCCTAAGACAAGGGAATACTTTGGTTTAGGGTTTAAAATTTAAAGATGATCTCAGGACAATAGTTTCAGGGGCTTATCAAGCCTCAATCACTCCAGAAAATCTGGATTCCATTCAGAATTTGAAATTATGTTCTATAATTCCCCCCTTTTGATCAATAATCTTCTGTAGTCTTTGATCAAAATATTCAGTAATGGTAGCTAAGCACCATCCAGTTCTTCTGGTCTTATGGCAAAGAAAGCAGTTGTTCATGGAGGCAACCAGACACGCATTTGATTCTCTCCTCTGATTCCTGACTCATTTTTCCTCTGTTGCTTCAGGTGAATGGAGACTAATCATACTTTGGATGACCACTTGCTAACTTTTAAGAGCCCAGTCATTATGCCATGAACTAGAAGGTAGAACAGGAGTACTGAGTGACAATATTAGACTCATTGATTGGGATGTCCCTTGAAACTATGACCCTAAACCTCCAAACCAAGAAAACAAATCCCATGAGGTGTTTGATTGTTCATAAGCAATCTCAACATCTGCTTTTTTTTTTTTTTGTAAAAAACATATAACACAGCAATTACCAATTCAACATTTTTTAGGTGCTCTACTTCCAATATTTCTTGCCCAGTTCGAGTGCCACCTACTCCTGGAATTCTTTGGTGGCCACTTTAGCCCACTGGCCTCTCCTTTGTCTGAACTCCCATAGGCTGAACACCTGCACCACTCATCTAGTAATGGAATTTTTTCCCTTTAATTTATATATTTTTAGTTTGTGGGGATGTATAGCCCAGATAAAAGAAGCTTTAGGGACTTATGGTAAACTTCTATTAAATATCTAGAAGGAAGTATAATATATATTTGCCATTTGTTTCTCTAGCATTTATTCTCCTTTCCTCTTACCAGCTATACCCTGATTTCCCCTTAAGGCATTTATTTACTCTTTCCTCATTGTTAGTCATTAATTTGAATGGGAATGACCACAAATCCAGCTCCCTGAATAATGTAAGCCAATCAACTCATTCCATCCTCCAGTCACAGTGACTGGATAATTACAGTTAATGAGAATCAGATACTTGTATTTCCAGAAATGGAAGTTTTATTTCTCTTCTGTTGGAACTGCCACAGGGAACCCATTTTATTCTCTCCATGTGAGGTCTGGAATTACAACTATTACAACTTCCCCCACCCCCCCACCATGGGGAAAGAGCTCAAAGCCACCAATGGGCCAGCGTGTGGAGTCTGAGATTGAAATGAACACCATAGAAAAAAGAGCAAAGAAACCAAGAGAAAGCCAGTTTCTTGCTGACATTTTATATGTTACTGGATTAGTCTTTACCTAGAGCCAGCTCTCCATCTGGAATTTTCAGGTCTATGCTTCCCTTCATATTTAACTTTGTTGAGTTGGGGCTCCCTCATTAGCAATGTAAAAGTCTTGACTGGTTGATGGAGGCCATCAGGTGAAAGGAAAATTTGATTTACTGTATATGGTCCCAGGGATAGATTAGGGTCGATTCATTGAACTATAAGGAGACAGATTCCAATTCAAGCTAAAGATATTGGTGTAGTTAATGTATAACAACGGAACAAGCTGTTCTAAGAGGCAGTGAGCTTCCTGGGCTAGATGGCATTTTGAGGGAATATTTTGGAGAAGATATTTAAATTAAATAATAATTGGCAGAGAAGGTCATTGAAAGTTGCCCCTAAAGTTCAGCAAATCAATGTCCTGTCTTCCTAATAAAAACATAACCTCCTTGAAATCATGTTACTCCCTGGATCACGCTGGCCCTGGGGCATCTATTTGGGTTAACAAGCATGGCCATTCATCTTCTGAATATATTGGTGCTCTCGACATATACCTGTGTCTTAACAAAGTGAGAGATTAAAGCTCCTGTAAAATTTGGCCCTTAAGAGCTGCCCCCTTGGAACTAGGAAAAGAATAGAGGAAAATATTGTGCAGTCATTTAAGAACAGATGGGAGGAAACTGGAGGTGATAGGCTATTATTAAAAGTAGTAAAACAATGTAGGTAGAGTGCTTATCTCAGTGCCCGGCACATGATAAACACTGAATAACAGTTTGGTGTTGCTATGAGTCTGATAATTGCCTTTGAGTTGACTTAAAAGACATGATAAAAACTAAATTTTTATGAAATAGTGAGTTATTTATTGCTGTCTGTGAGGACACTCAGAACCATTCTTGATGTGAATTACTAAGTCCCTTCTAGATATTCTCTTTCTCCTGGGGCCACTCATCCACAAGCAGTGCCTGTTCTGATACAAAGAAGCAGCCAGATTTCTGAGAAATAAATAATTGGTGTTTAAGGTTACAGCAATGCATCGAACAATCAATTTTAGTAAGTTATCTCCCACTAAATCTCCGAAAGCTTCTAATTACTTTGTGCCACTTTTGAGAGTTTGAAGTTATTACAAGATACAGTTATTTCATTATTTGATTTCAGTCCACCATTAAGAATAATGAAAGAATAATGAGCTCTATTAGTCACTTCTTTGGGTGATTTACCAGTTCTTAATGGTAATTTCTCCTCCCAAAGGAATGATTTCCTTAAACATCAAGCAAACAGTCACACAATTATTTTATGATCAGGCTTCCTGTACAGATATAGTCTGCACTGAAAAGAAAATCATGTGTCTATTAATCACTGTAAACTTCTTAGCTTCCTTAGGTTATATCTACCCAACTAGCTAGCTAGAGAAAGAGTGAAAAACAGATTATTTATCCATGTTTTACATTGTTCCATCAAAATTTGAAGTGGTTGACATAGTAGAATAGAATCCAATTTGCCTAACCAGTATTAAATGCTGTTCTATTTGTTGTTGAATAATTTGATCTTCCTTCACATATTTAGCAAAATAGATATTCAACCATTAATTATTCCCACTCACCCCAAAACTTAAATTTTAAAACTCAGATTTCAAAACGAGTAAAACATCGTGATCACTGTGTAGGAAGTTCAGGAGCCTTGATAACCCGGCCCTCTTATCTATGTAAGATCAAAGGTGAAGGAGACGGTTATGGGGTTGTTTATCATTCAGGTTGGTATATTAACCTAATCACTTGTTTATATTGACTAAAATCATTCTACCAGCTGTTTATTTATACAGTTTGTAGAGACTTGGATTCAGCATACCAAAATGTAATCACAGCTTTTGTGTAAATATCTCCACAACTTGAACAAAATCCATTTATTCAAAGTAAATAAATAAATTAGTCCAATGCATTTGAATTATGGTATTAGTGAAGAATACTGAATATACTATGGACTTCCAGAAGAATGAACAAATCTGTCTTAGAAGAAATACAGCCACAATGCTCCTTGGAAGCAAGGACAGTGAGACTTCATCTCATGTACTTTGAACATGTTATCAGGAAGGACCAGTCCCTGGAGAACAACATCATGGTTGGTAAAGTAGAGGATCGGTGAAAGAGAGGGAGACCCTCAATGAGATGGACTGACAGAGTGGTGGCAACAATGGGCTCAAACATAGCAAAGATTGTAAGGATGGCATGGGACCTGGAAGTGTTTCGTTCTGTTGTACATAGGGTCTCTGTGTGTTGGAACCGACTCGAAGGCACCTAACAACAACAGTATCTGACATGTCTGAATTCTGCTGCATTTCTTATATTCACCCTAAACAACTCAAGCATTAATGCCATATGTGGGAGATACAAGGACCAGGTCAGAGCCTCTCCAGAACTTCCTCCCAGATGGGGAGGAACTTGCCCTGGGATTATTTCTTCTCCATTTCCATAATATTCAAACCCTGTTAAGATGCTGATTGGAGACTTGTGTGTTGGAATGAGGACGCAGCACTGACTATATAGCTTTGGCCATACAGATGGACTCCTCCATCTTCCCTGGTCCTGTGATTTCATCAGTTTTCTGTTTGATGCCTTCTCAAGGGAGTAAGTCACAGAGTCAGCCGTACCTTTAGACTTGCCAGGAGAGTCAGTAACTTGAACAATCATTAGGGCTGCTTGGGTATCTTTAAAATTACTTGGATCTAAAAGGCCCTTCCTTTGAGGCAATGTTTCCAAGTCTCTTGTTTTAAAGATAGACTAGCTGAAGCCCATCACTGAGGGAAGTAATTTAACTTCATTCACTCATTCATTGAGCTTACAGTCTAGTTGAGGAGAAAGAAATTAATTAAGGAACCCACAAGTATAGAATTATACGGTGAGATTAATGCAATGAAGGAAAATCACTGGGAGCCATGAGTACCTACAACAGTGACTGGGTGTAGCTAGGAAATCAGGGAGAGCTTCCCTGAAGAAGTGATGATTGAAGTCTGATTTAAAGATAAGTAAGAGTTAAAAAGGCAAACGTGATAGTGGTGCTGGTGACAGTAGAAACATTCCAGGTAGTGGGTACAGCATGTGCAAAGTCTCTGTGGCCTATTGCAGAATAGGACCTACTGCTCCTGAGTCTTAGTCTAGGGATCTTCAAATTCTTCTAGGACTGAAACTCTAAGCATATGATTCCTATCCTGGTGTCCTCTATAGCCCTGCGTAATGCCTCATCTTTCCTGAGAATGGGCTGTTATAAGTTACATTACACACACAAAGAAAACCAGAGAGGTTTCTAAGCTTCTGTCTGAGCTGTCACTTAGCTCCTGATGCAATGTAGCTGTGGATTCATGACAACAAAAAAAAGTGAAACTCAAAGAAACTGTTTTAGGGGAAGTGTGTATTTCCTACTCAAAGTCAAACATTCCCCACAAATTGTCCCAGTATTAGTGATTGTTTAGTGTTGGACAAGATGGTATTAATAAATTTGGAGTGGGGATTTCTCATAGGGCTCATGATATTTGGAATCACATAGACATCTTATCCCCTCAGTGAGATGGGCAGGGCTGTGATGAGAAAGACAAGGCTGTGAGCTATCCTGGGGGGGACATACGTCTCTGCGAATACAGAGGCTGGCCAGCCCCCCAGGAGGAGACTGACACAGTTCCCTGCCTGATTAGATTTACTCCTGTGTCTAGACATCTGTGTCTCTTAGAATTTGTTCTTCCTACCTAGACCTTGTCATTCCCCTCAGGGACAATAGGTATTCAAAGAGCCACATGTGGGGCACTTACTTCTGACATTCACCTTTCTCAGAGGTCCACTGTGATGGGAAGTACATTAATTTTAAGATACTGCCTGGTGTCAGAGCCAGCTCCGAGCATTTGATGTGAGTGCTTGTTCGCATTTCGTTTGTAACTCACACCACCACCGCTCCCTCTCACAGTTTTCTTCTTCTTCTTTTTTTTTTTCTTGTTTAAGGAATCATGGACTATTAGAACTAGAGGGAAACTTAAATATAATCTGATGTGACCTTTTTGTTTTATAATTGGGAAGACTCAAGTCAGGAGAAAGTATGTAGCTTGTTTATCAGCATATTATGTCAGCGACAGACCTGGAAGTCTAAACCATTGCATGGCTGTTTACTACATAAGCTGCCTCCTTAAATGGGTGTAGAATCTTCACAGTCAAGACTTGCCTGTCTTGTGAATATGCCCGGAGAGAAATTATATAGACTCACTCCCACCCTCATCTAAAAGTTTCCCTCAGCTAATTTAAACCCAGAAAAAAGAAAAAAGCATAGGAAAGGAACCTCTAAGTATATTTTGCAAACTGAGTGGTGATTTTCTATTAATCTCAGGCTATCTCATTCATGTATCTTTTACTCTGTCTCATGTGATCGTCTCACCTCCCTACCCCTCAATCTCCATCTGCTTAGGGAGGAATTAGAGTTGATCTCAGTCAGATCATAGTTTTGTATTTAAACTGATATCTCAACCAAAAAAAAAGTCAAAGCAGCCACAAGGAAGGGTCTGAGTTTAAAACTACATATCTGTTTTGGGCTACAAAATGGGCGGGGATAGTTTTTGTTGTATTCTGGCTGAGTTGGAGCAGATGAAAAATGTCAATGCAGGCAGTAGATGGGGCAGAGACCTCAGGATGTGGAACAGTTTTTCAAGGTGGGTCACCTGCCCCATATCACCTGATGTACTTATTTAAAATGTAGATGCTCGACTCCATCTCACACCTGCTGAGTCAGATTCTATGGGAGGTGGGGTTGCACACTGATACTCGTAATAAGTTTTTCAGGTGACTGTTAGGAACGCTTGTATCTGAGAAGCACAGATACAGAGGGAAGAATAATGGAAATGAGTTAAATGAAATGACTTAGAGTTGCAGTAACTATAGTCCTTTAACTTCTCAACTTCCCCATCTGAGCTCATTAGATTTTCTCTTAGCTCCCTTCCAATTCTGAATTTCTCCAATTCTAAGTTTTCTCTGAACTCGGAGCCAGTGTAAAGAGAAGAAGGAGGTTCCCCATGCCAGACAGCTTAAATACTCACTCTGAGCCCCATGAGGTAGTAGAGGACGCTGATGACAGTCATCGGGAGTATGTAGAAGAGGAAGGAGGTGACTTGGATGATAAAGTTGTAGATCCACAAGGGCTTGATGACCGTACAGGTGGCAGAGCCCGGGACCAAGGACCCGTTGGGAAAGTATTGGAGCTTGATGCCGTGGATGCTGGTGTTGGGCAGAGAGAAGAGGAGGGAGAAGCCCCAGACCACACCGAGGATCCTGAGCGCCCGCCGCCGGGTGCTCTCTAACTTGGCGCGGAATGGGTGGAGGATGGCCACGTAGCGCTCCACGCTGACTGTGGTGACGCTGAGAATAGAAGTGAAGCACACGGTCTCAAAGAGGGCCGTCTTGAAGTAGCAGCCCACTGGCCCAAACAGGAAGGGATAGTTGTGCCACATCTCATAGACTTCCAGGGGCATTCCAAGGAGCAGGACCAGGAGATCTGAGACAGCCAAGCTGAAGAGGTAGTAGTTGGTGGGTGTCTTCATAGACTGGTGCCGCAGAATCACCAGACACACCAGGAGATTGCCAATGACCCCGACCACAAAAATCAGCGTATACACTACAGTCACGGGGAGGAAGAGGTGGCTGCGCCGAGGCCCACAGAGGAAGGCCAGGTAGTCCTCGGTGCTGTTCAGGTATTTTTTGAGTGAATTTTCCAGCTCCATCTGGTGGATCCGGGAAGCATTCTCACCTTTTTCCATCATTGAAACTTGAATCTGGAGACTTGAGCCTCCCCTGGTATGAAGCTTTGACCCAAGGCCAGCCAGAAAGAAAAGAGAAAGCAGTCAGGAAAGCACAGACTCAGTGAGTGAAGCCGGGAGAGAGTGAGCCTTCAGCCTCAAGACTGGGCTGCTCAGACGCTGATCCCTTTTGAAGAGCCCCTGAGACAGAAGCCCCTCCCCTCCACAGGCTGTGGGCCAATGAGTGTATGTCAGACCACACAGCACTCAATTATGGGTGTGCGGGCTTTGAGAGCAGGGAGCAGAGGAGGAGAGGGAGGCATTTCTCTGAATTGGAAGGAGATGGTAAATCAGAGCTGACACAGACGGTGACACTCTGTAACTTCAATAAGATGTGGTAACTCTGAGCAGTGCATTTTGCAACCTTGTGGGAATCTGGGTGGAAAGCAAATTAAAGTTGCAGGGTCATGGGTAGAAGAGTACAAATCTCCATTGATCCTTGTCACTTGCACAGCATGACAAATATGGGACATCAATAGATTTCTCAAGTTATCTTTTTCCCTTGAAAATTCAGGTCTCTCTGGGGAAAGTGCAGTCAATATGACTTTTTGGTTTTGATTTCGTCAATGATAGGCTCTAAAGCCTGAAAGAGCACTTGCACATCATCTAGTCCTTCCTGTAGTCTGACACTTCAGTCTCTTTTGACAGTGGCCGCAGTAGCAAAAGGAAAGTATGATTCTGAATAGGCACACTTAGAGAAATCCTATAAGACCTTGGGCGAATTACTCAACCTCGCCAAGCTTCATTTCCCTATCTGTAAGTTGGGGGACTCAGTACCATATTTTTACGCAAATAATGTGTGTTTTATACGTTTTTTGCCAACTGTGCAACCCTACCCCCCACCTAGCTGTTTTGTAAGCAAGCTATGCCATGCATTATATGTGTAGGTGCCAGGAGTGGATTACCCGGTAAACAAAGTAAGCACAGGCTTACTTGTGCTTACTTACTAATTTGTAGTGCACAATTTCACATGGGTTTCACCACATGTGAGCCATCCAAGTGAGACATGGGTGAAACTCATATGAAATTGTACATACAAATTAGTAAGTAAGCACAAATAAGCTAGTGTTTACCTTGCTTACCGGGTAATCTGCCCATGTCAGGGATTGTACATTTGAAAACAGGCTTTGATTCTGTAGGAGGGTGCTTGGGTTGGGAGGGAGATAGACGCCAGCCATACCTAGAAGCAGAATCTTTGATGTGGTGAAAAATGTGAAATTGCTCACTACAGATGATCTGGTAAGCAAGGTAAGCACTGTGCTTGCCTTGCCTATTAGATAATCTGCCCCTGGTGGGCATGTTATTTATGCAGGCAAGTAATATGCAACAAAATATGGTAAGTCTATTTTATTCCAGAAATATTGTTTGAGGATCCACTATGTGCCAGGCACTGTTCTAGACTTTGGGGAAACATCAGTGAATAAGCAAGAAAAGATTCCAGCCCTCACAGAGCTTTTCTTACCGTAGGGAATTCTGAAAATATACAAGCAAACTAATAAATTAATAATATGATTTCAGATGATAACTCGTGTTATGAAGAAAAATAAAGACTACTAAGGGGCTCTACAGAGACAAGGCTAAAGGTGTTCTTTTATCAAGGATAGTAAAAGAGGACTTGTTATGGATTAAATTGTGTCACCCAAAAATATGTGTTGTAAATCATAACCCCATACTTGTTGAAAGGAGCTCTGGTGGTGCAGTGGTTAAGTGCTCAGCTGCTGACTGAAAGGTTGGTGGTTCAAACCTACCAGCTGCTCTGTGAGAGAAAGATGTGGCAATCTGCTTCCATAAAATTATAGCCTTGGAAACCCTATGGGACAGTTCTACTTTGTCCTATAGGGTCACTATGAACTGGAATCAACTCCTTCACAAAGGGCTTTTTATATTTTTTGATGCATTCACATTCTGGAATAGTGTTTTCTTTGTTATGTTAATGAGGCAGTATTAGTGTCGTGTATGTCTTAAGCCAATCACTTTTGAGATATAAAAAGAGCAGAACAGGCACAGAAGCACAGAAGCAGGAATGAGGAAAGATTGATGCCATGTGGAGATCACCAAAGAACTGAGGAAGAGAAGCTGAAAAGGATAAGGATTTTCCCCCAGAGCTGACAGAGGGACCTATCCCCTAGAGTAGGTACCCTGAATTTGGACTTCAACATTAAAACTGTGAGAAAATAAATTTCTGTTCATTAAAGCTACCCTCTTGTGACATTTCTGTTATAGCAGCAATAAGAAACTAAGGCAGGACCTACCTCCGAAAATGTCACTTAAGCTGAAATCTGAATGATGAAAAATCAGTAATGAAAGATCCAAGATAAAAGTATTCACAGCAAAAGGAATGATAAGTTCGAAGGCTCTGAGGCAGAAATAAGCTTGATGTATTTCAGAAATATTGAGAATATCACTTAGACTGGGTTCTCTCGAGAAACAACACCAGTGAAGGGTATATATAAATATGTATAGAGAGACTTCTCTCAAGGAAATAATTCATGTGACTGTAGAGGCTGGCAAGTCCCAAATCTATGGGTTAGGCATCAGGCTGGAGGCTTTTCCTGATTCATGTGGTAACAAGGGGTGACAAATCCAAGATCAGCAGGTCAGATGACAGGCTGCTGGCTCACAAGACTGTGGAAGCTGATGAATTCCAGAATCGGCAGGCTAGATGGCAGGCTGCTGGCTCAAGTCCCAAGAACTGGAGGTCAGATGATGACAAGTCAGATGCAGGATCCAGAGCGTACAAACTTTTCTAGAACATCCATATATAATGGATGCAGGCCACACCCTCAAGGGAACTCCCCTTACAACCAGTTGACTGATCACATCAGATCACATCATGGAGGATGATTACATCAGATCACAAAATAGAGGATGACTACATCATTACATAACTTCCAAATTACACCATAACATAATTGCCAAACTACATCATTACATAACTGTCAGTCCACTGAGAATCACAATGTAGCCAAGTTGACACACAACCTTAAACATCACAACCAGTATGGCTGGAACTTAGTGAGTGGACAGGAGAGTATGGGTGATTAGACTGAAGTGGCTAACTGGGACCAGATCATATAGAGTCTTATAGGCTGTGGTAAAGAATTTGGATCTTATTCAAACTGCAGGGAAAAAAAAAAAAAAATCTTTGTAGGATTTTAATGAGGAGAATGAAGAGTGGTGAAGTTTTAACAAGAGGTAGATAGGAGGCCAGTATGATATTCCAGCCAAAGATGGTAATAGCTTGGATTACTGTGGATTTGGGAATAATTTTGAAAGAGAGGATAGTGCCTACCTTACACAGTTGTTGAGAATATTAATTTAGATTACATATATAAAGCATCTTATAGATACCCTGCGTTAATTCTTTTCCTGTTGAAAAATCGAATGAACAAACTGAAGACCAAAGAGGTAAAGTGACTTGTCTAAGAATAATCTGTCAGTCAGGATGGGGTAGTTTATGCTTCTGTAACAAATGACCTCCTGTATCTCGGTGGTTTAAAAAATTAAAGGTTTATTTTTCATTCACGTTACAGTGTTCAGCTGGAAGGTCTGTCCCACATTGTCCTCACTCCGGGGCCCAGGCTTAGGGAGAGGTCACTATCTGGAACTTTTCTGGTAATTGTGGTAGAGAGAGAGAGCTCTAGAAGACCTCAATAGGTAATTTATGCTTTAGCCCTTAAGTAACATATATCACTTCTGCTCACAGCTAATTGGCCAGGAATAGTTACACATATCCGCCCGACAACACAGGGGTAGGAAGTACTATCCTACCCTGTTCATGGCAGGTGGAGAACCAGGAAAATTTGGTGAACAACATTAATGATGAGAGCAGACACACAGGAAGTCATGGCAGATCCAAGTCTAGAGCCCTGTCATTGATGTCGAAATCACTATTAACAAATTTTAATGTATATTTTTGATGAAATAGGAAAAAAGTTCTATCATTGGGATGACATATCTCAATGAGATAGAAGTACCCTGAATATTAGAAGAGTGGACAGTGGCAGATAGTAGACATGAATCTGGGGGAAGAAACTTTTTAACACACAAGGTACCAAATTGAAGATCCAAAGATATCTCAGCATTGTGATGGGGTAGGCCTGATCAAATAAAATGAAGTCTGTTGAGTGAAAAAATACTAGGTGTTGTGAAAAGAGATGACACAGGAGTAATAAATAACATGGGCTCTAGTGTAGGCTTGGGGTTCATATCCTGGTTCTGCCTTCTACTAGCTGTGTAACCTCAAGTAAATTATTTAACATCTGATTCTCAGTCACCCCATATGAAAAATTAGTAAAATAAAAGTACTACTTTGTAGGATTGCTATGAAGGTTAAATAAAAATAGTTCCTGACAAACTGTTCAATATATATTATTATAATACATTATTTAAGTATTTGAAGAGATATGTAATAAAATAATAATAATTTAATAATGAAAATTTCATTATATTTATTAGGTTCAAAAAGACTATTGTGTGATTTAAAAGCTGGGAGATGTGCTTTGGAGCTGTTAATATGAAAAGGATTTCTCATTTTAAATTAACTGTCAGTGTAGGAGAGCAAGCCAAAGTAGCTGCTAAGAATGTATATGGAATTTTAGTCTTTGTTGATTGATATCCATCCCCCAGATCACGTGGGACTGGATCTGCGCTTTTTAGCCATGTGAAAATAGTGAGAATGATAAGGAGCTCACTATCCTATAGGCAATGTTTGATGGAAGTGGTGTTGTGGATTGAACGATGTTTCTCAGAATGATTTGAAGTCCTAACCGTGGTACCTGTGAATCTGATGTTGTTTGAAAATAGGATCTTTCTTTGAAAATGATATCAGTTATGTTAAGGTGGTCATACTGAAGTAGACTGGGTTCTAATTCCTTCCGAGTAGTGTCTTACAGAAGGGGAGAACAGATATGGAGATAGAGTCACACGGGGGCAGAGAGCCGCAATGTGAAGATTCATCTACA